CAGCCAGATCTTGAGGTTAAATGGAAAGAGGGAACGCCCAAGTCAAAAACTGCTCTCTAATTTTATCCCAGGGGGCCAGAGGCTGAAAATTTCTTAATGCTTGTTGAGATTTCCTTGGTAACATCTCCTAGGTTATAAAGGAAACAGATGCTGGTTATAGTAAATGACATGCCCTTCTTGATAATAATCCCACAGAATATATATGTACATGTGTGTGTCTATGAGATCCGTGGGACCAATCCCTTGTCTTCCATGGAAGAATACTAGGGTCCTCTGCCTTTAGGAGGTGGCTAGAAGGGAGAGTGGAGTCTGTTCTAGGTAGTGGGGGTGGCATGTGCAAATGTACAGAGACAGGAGAAAGCAAGATGAGACAAGCAACACTGAATAGTCCGGTTTCACTGGAATGTAGAGCACATGAAGGGAAATTGTGGGAGATAAGATTGGGAAAGTAGATTGTAACCTGATCACAAAGAGACAAATACCAGGCTATAAAGCATATCTTGAAGTCAATAGGGAGCCACTGAAAGTTTATGAGTAGTATAGTGACAATGATCAGCCTTGTAAATTAGTTCATTAAAATTTAAGTTTAGTTAATGTATTGTCTGTGTTGGTTTCCTATCATACATAGCACGGGCTGCCCCATTGAGCTCTCATAACAAAAAAAAAAAAGTTAAGCAAAACCAAGCAACAAAATGATATTCGACAACATATGGAACATCCTGTACCTTTAGTTCCCTTAGTGCTCTACCCAGGGGAGGAAAGCACAAGCCATCATTCGTTCCTGGGACCAAGGTCAGTCATTGCAACTGACCTGATTTCAATGTCCTTTAACCACAGTTTTTGTTGAAATATAGTCATCGTGTAGATGGTGTTCCTACTTCTACTTACCTTGTCCAGTGTCAAATCATACAAATCTCAGGGAATTCGATTTGGCAACAAAAGCAGGGAGACCGAAAGTCCAGGCAAACACTGACAAAGAGGTCATAATGAATGCTTAAATTAGGGCAATAGCTTTGGGTGGGAAAGGAGGAATGGATGTGAGAGAAACCGGTGATGTAAAATAGGCCTGGCGACTGACACAATGTGGCAGGAAGGGAGAGGGAAGGATCCAAGAACACCCTTTCAACTTTTAATCCTGGGTGACTCAGATAAGGGGAGGGAGGAGTAGCATCGGCACAAATAAAGGAACTAGGTTTCTCGGGGAGGATGGGAAATTCCATTCTGGATGTGTTGAGTCTGAGATTGTGACAAATATTCATCAAAAACAAAACCAAAACCACCACGAAAACAATTGCAGAATGCACCACCACCACCAAAGAGGATGAAGAGTTGGAGAAATTCCAGGAGGAATCAGCACCTCCAGGGAGGTCCTTGGAATCTGCACTGGATCTAGTTCATGAAAATGGTGAGCCCCTTGGACAATCTGGGTCTCCCTGCTTTATGCCTCACATGATGTAAATAATCACAGGTTGATCAAATAAAGTTATCTCCGGTGAGGAACCATTCAGTAGTTATGGGCTGATCGCTTTGAGCCTGGAGCATTGCAGAGTTCTCTAAAAGAGGTTCATGATCACTCCAAATGAATTTGGCTTACCAGTCCACATAGGAAATTGGGAAAAAGCCAAGTGGATGAAGCATGCCTCCTGTCTTAACATGAGGTCCATAGACTCCCATAGGATCCATGGATAGATTTCAGAGAGTCCATAAACTTGACTAGGAAAAATATTTCTTTATCTCAATAGAATTAATTTCCTTCAAGGTGTTCCGAACCACTTAACTTTGATTAAAATTATACTAAGACTTTTGTCACGCTCTGTATTTTACACATTTAAAAAGAGTGTTTTGAGAAAGGGTCCATCAGCTTCACTACACTGACACTAAAAACAGTCAAGAACCCGTGTTCTAGAGTCCACTGATTCTAAACTTTTTTGATCGCACACCCCTACCAGTCATTTGTTTTATCCTGATGGGTAAGCTGGGGTGGGAAGGTGAGTGGGGGAGATTTTCCTAATGGCCCTGGGTGGCTGCTGCTGTGGGTGCCTGGGGCAGGGCTAAGTTGTCATTGCCTTGAGGAACCAATGCAGGCTCAGAAGGGACCAAGTTGGGAAGATTGTTGGGCTGACCTGGATGATGGGGAGGTGTGGATGTGCGGGAGATAAGCCACCTATCCGTTCAAACCTTGCTGCTCACCTTCTGCAATGCACAGGGGTCTGCCAGGTAGACTGGAACACTCTGAGAACTTTTAACAAACTTTATTGCTACTCAGAAGGGAAGGAGGAGAATTACTGCTAGCAGGTGCCAATCTGGCCTCCATACCCACAGTAGGTGAAAAGGGAGAAGAAAGGGGTAGACATTGAATTTTAGACCAAGAGCCAGTATGATACAAATGGGAGACTGCCCTGTTATCTACAGAACAGGGTGGAGGGGGTGGGCAGGCGTGTTGTCTAAACTACCTACTAAGAAGTGAAGAAGGAGGGTCAGGGAAATGGGGACCTTAACCCTTAGTTTGCTAGTCCAGAAAGAGGCTGAAGAGGGAGGTTGGGAACATGATCCTTAGTCCATATTACCTCCCCCATGAGAGTGTAAGCCCCTGAGAGCAGGGACTTCTTCACTTTTGCCTTTGTTGTCCCAGAACCTAGCAGAGTGACTGGCTGCAGTGAAGAGCAGAGGATGTCCTGAGAGTAAAGCAAAACACACTTGGAGCTGCTTAGACAGATGGCACCTAGCAATGTATTCACCAAGAACAGTGGTGCTTTTGTGTCTTGGTCACAAAAGGCTTGTGGCCTCAGAGGCTGGTGTCTGGTCCAGACAAGAGGGCACCAGAGCAGAGGATGGCTGCTAGAAACTCATCGGCCATGTCTGCATATGTATTTCTAGGTCTACCACCTTTCAGGAGGCATGCTTCACCAGCAGGCCTCTGAAGTTACAGCTGTTCCCTCCCTCACGAATCTTTCTGAGTCTTCTGGGAAGCTATGTTTTCCCCTTTCCTGGATGAGATGATTCTGTAACACTATTCCTTCCCTTCCATTTCCAAACCACTTTAGGGACATGGTGTCAGCCTCTAAAGAAAACCTCCAGGTCAGTTTGCATATTAAAACATAATTGAGAAATATTTAACAAAATAAGTAAAAACGCCGATAAAAACACACATAATGTTAATTTGCAGTTTCTTAATTATTGCAGCTGAAAAGATCTATTTGTATTTGAGTTAACATCAGTGCTCTAGAGTCTTGGCTAGTCATCGAATCAAAGGGTTCTAAAGTCTTTCAGAATTGTTTTTCTTTACAATATTATAATCATTCCACAAATTCAATTCCTACTAGCACTGGCAGGTTGGGTCCCTAGAATTGCTATGAGTGCCTGTTCCTAACACTGCAGCTCACAAGCCCCCAATGTGTTTCCATTTAAAAATCAGTCAGTAGACTCTTAGAAAAGTTGTTGTTTAGTCATGTATGACTCTTCGTGACCCCATTTGGGGTTTTCTTGGCAGAGATACTGGAGTGGTTTGCCATTTCCTTCTCCAGCTCATTTTACAGATGAGGAAACTGGGGCAACAGGGTGAAATGACTTGCCCACGGTCACACAGCGATTTGAACTTAGGTCTTCCTGACTGCAGACCCAGAACTCTATTCACTGTGCCACCTAGAAAAGACTTTTAATCAAATAGCACAAGAACAGTAGTGACAACCACTCCCCCCTTCTCGAATCTGGGGCACACTCTCCCACAAAGATACAAAATGTCCAGGGATGGTGGATAGTGGGTATAAACATAAAATATAATGGCAATGAGGCATACGTGCAGGAAAAACGTGGCCAAGGGAACTGATGACTCTGGGAACTATTGGGCCAGATATTCTTTCTTTCTCTAGAAAGACCTGGTGGACTTCCTCGTGGGGAGCGGTGTTAGCATTAGTCAATGCTGCTCTGGTCTTCAGCCAGGCTGGCCACTCACTCGGTCGCTCAGCCGACTCCACAGAGGATGTGAGCTTGGAAGGATGGGCTCCCCGCCAAGCTCCGCTGAATGTAGTCTGAGCTCATTCAGCTAGGGTGTTATTGCATTCTTGCAGAAAGAGCAGAGTCCCTTAACCCACAATTATTGGGTTGGGTTATTTCATAGATTCAGCTTGGAGTTTTTCTCACTTCCCTGGCAAGAAGTGGGAGAGGCATAGCTTCTCCTATCTGATACTTCTTCCTGCTGCAGGGCTGGGTCCCCTTGGCCCTCACCCTGATCTATGGGTGTGTAGTACAGTTCACAAATGCTCATTGGGTCTATACAAGTGAGTAGCTGGGGGGAAATGAGGCAGTCTGAGTCCTGGGAGCAAGTTCCTGTCTCTGATTGCATTTTTATACACTACTGAACTACACAGCATAAAGCATGTAAGGAATGCTTCATTTATGCCTGAAAGGGACTCAGGCTTAGTAAATTTATTCTCTCTTTCTTTGCCCCACATAACCCACAACTTTGCTGAAGTCCAGGGAATCGGGGAAATTGAGACCCAGACAGCAAATATGATTTGCCCAAGGTCAAATAGCTGATGATGCAGCTGTGTCTAGAATCCTGATCTCCTGCCTCCTGGTACAATGTGCCAGCAGCTGTGTCTAGAATCCTGATCTCCTGCCTCCTGGTACAATGTGCCTCCCACAACACTAGGCTATCTATCAGTTGGGTTCGACTGCTTCTAACTCCCTCCCAGACATATTGTCCCCAGGGGACTTGGGTCTAAAGGAGAATGCTCTTTTCTTCCCTCCTTCCTTCCTTTGTTTGTTCCTTCTGTTCTTCTCATTTAAGATGTTACGGTCATCAGATCTAGAGCGGGAAGAGGTTTGAGAGAATATGGCCCGCCTCTTCATGCCAGTGAGCATATGAATAAACTGGGGCTAAAAGATAGGATATGACCTGTCCATTGTCAGACATATGTAGGACGTAATAGAGGCAGCCTCCTGGCTCCGACTGAGTACTCTCACCGCTACTTCATCTCTCCTCTCCCTCCTTCTCCAAGCAACAAGCATTTATCAGACATCCCGTGGGTGCCAGGACCTGTGCTAGGAAGCAAGTTTACAAAGACAACCACAAGGTTTCTACCCAAAAGCAGCTCGTATTCCATCCAGAGAAACAACGTATAAAACCATAAGGAGATACATAATATGTAAGTATATATGTGTGTGTGTGTGTGTGTGTGTGTGTGTGTGTGTGTGTGTGTGTTATAAAGGAAATGGAAGGGAATAGTCAGTCTGGATGGGGGAGGGGTGTAGGTCAAGGAAAGCTCCAAGCAGGAAGTGAGGCTGGAGAAGGGAGTCATTCCAACTATGGGCCTGTGCAAAGGCAAAAAGAGTGGGGTGGGAGTTGGAGTGCTGTGTGGGAGGGAGGGAGGAAAGGAGGAAGGCAGGAAGGAAAGAAGGAAGGAAGGAAAGAAAGGAGGGAACGAGGAAGAAAGAAAGAGAAAGGAAGAAAGAAAGAAAGAAAGAAAGAAAGAAAGAAAGAAAGAAAGAAAGAGAGAGAGAAAGAAAGAAAGAAAGGAGGGAAGGAAGGAAAGAAGGAAGGAAGGAAAGAAGGAAAGAAAGAAGGGAAGGTGGAAGGAAGGAAGGAAAGAAAGAAGGAAGGAAAGAGAGTGAGGGAGGGAGGAAGGAAGGAAGGAAAGAAGGAAAGAAAGAAGAGAAGGAGGGAAGGAGGAATGAAGGAAGGAAAGAAGGAAAGGAGGGAGGGAGGAAGAAAGAAAGAAAAAAGAAGGGAAGAAGGGAAGAAAGGAAAAGGAGGAGGGAGGAAATGAAAGAAGGGAGAGAAGGAGGGAAGAAAAGGAGGGAAGGAAGGAAGGAAAGAAGGTTGGAAACACGTATTATGTACTTACTATGTGCCAGGCACTGTGCTAAGCACTTTACAAGTATCTCATTTGATCCTCATGACAATCCTCTTCTCCCCTGACACACACACATTTTACAGCTGAGGAAACTGAGGCAGCCAGAAGTCAAGTGATTTGTCGGGGGGACACAGCTAGGAAGCCTCTGAGGCCATATTTGAGTTCAAATCTTCTCAAGCCAGGCCCACCACTCTGTCCACTGCAATACCAAACAGGTCAGTTTAGCTGGACCGTGCTGCTCCATGAAAGAGGGTGCTGTGTGATATGTCTGGGAAGGTGGTCTGGAGCCAGAAAGCCATGTCTCTGATGGGCAGTTGCCAGGTAACTTTCCTCCCATCCTCTCCGAAGCTCTCTGTGGCTTTTATTAAATGCACCTCAGCTGCTATTACATTACAGGACTTAATCTCACACCAGTCACACCCTGGCTTCCTTCCAGGCTGGGCAAGGGGCCAGAAGCTGCAGAGCTCTCCCTGGCAGCTCTGGGGTTTGGTTAAGAGTCAGAGTATTTGCTGCCGGATACAAATGCTCCAGAATGTTATTTCGACCCACTGGGGACTCCAGATAGCTTTTGTCTCTGGCAATAGAAGCTACGGTTTCTCTGAACAAGAGAGAAGTCATCTGAAGCCAGGGCTCTCCTAGTTAGGTCTAAGGGAGCCTATGCGGGCTTTGGGGGTGGAGTAAGGTTGGGGTAGGATTGAGGGAATGGAGGACTGGCCCAGCAGGCAAAGAGGAAGGAAGCAGTCAGAGTTCTTAGCTGTTATCTGCCTAGACCTCCTACCTTCAATCTTTCCAACTGGCAGTAGCCCAGATTGAAATGTCTCAGCTTTTGCTTTGACTCAATCTACTGTCTCCATACTTGGAATGTACTTGGCCTTACCCCATGTTGGAATACATTCTCTCCTCCCCTTCTCACAGAATACTGCTCTTCCTTTAAGACTCGGCTCAATCTCAGCCTTCTATACCAAGCCTTTCCTGATTTCCCACCACTCATAGAGCTCTCCTTCCCAAAGTATCTTATATTTATTTATGTTTATTCTACATAACTTGCCTATGTCCAGAGGTGTGCTTGTAAATAATTAACAACTGGCTCCCCCATTAGAATGTAAGTTCCTGAAACATAGGGATTGTTTCATTCCTTGTATAAGGATTAGATCATTACCACCCCCAATTAATCACAAAAGGTCCAGACATCTCAACTGAACAATCAGCAAATCAAAATTAAAATAAGAAGCAAATAAACACAGTAACATAAGGTTGGACAAACCCAAAGAAATTAGCAACTGAGGTAAGAACTCACTATTTGACAAAAACTGCTAGGAAAACTGGAAAGCAGTTGGACAGAAACTAAGTTTAGACTAAAAAAAAAGGAATGTTGTCAGATCTATAGATGGGGGAGAGTGCATGACAGAGAGAGAGAGAGAGAGAGAGAGAGAGAGAGAGAGAGAGAGAGAGAGAGAGAGAGAGAGAGAGAGAGAGAGAGAGAGAGAAAGAGAGAGAGAATCACAAAAGATAAAATGAACATTTCTTATTATACACAACTAAAAAGATTTAATATAAACAAAATCAATGTAGCTAAAATTAGAAGGGAAGCAAGTAATTGGGGGAAAAAACTTTGTAGCAGGTTTCTCTGGCAAAGATCTCATATTTCCAAGATATATAGGCAACTGATTCAAATTTACAAGAATAACAGCAATTCTCTAATTAGTAAATGGACAAACGATAAAAATAGGCATTTTCCAGAGGAACAAATTTAAGCTATCAACAGCCATATGACAAAATGCTCCAATTCACTAACAATTAGAGAAATGCAAATTAAATTAATTCTAAGATCCAATCTCATACTCATCAGATTGGCAAAGCTGACAAAAAGGAAAATGACAAATGTTGGAGTGGCTGTAGGGAAACAGGTACATTAAAGCCCTTTTGGTGGAGCTGAGAATTTGGTCCAACCATTCTGGAAGTCAGTTTGGAACTAAATTACTAAACCGTGCTTCCCCTTGGACACAGTAATATCTTTATTGTCTAAACTCCAAAGAAATTAAAGAGGAAGAGGACCCATATGTATAACAACATTTATAGTGGTGATTTTTTTTTTTTTTGGTGTGGTGACAGAGAAAGCAAAGGAGTGCCTATCAGCTGGGAAATGGCTGAACAAATTATGCCCTGTGAATATAATGGAATATTGTTGTTCTGTAAGAAAGAGTGGAGATGATTTATTTAATTTCATTTTTTCAATTAATGAAAATTCACCTTTCTCCCACCTACCTCCCCCATTGAAAAAGATAGAAAAACAAAATCTTTGAAATGAATATGTATAGTCAAGCAAAACAAATTCTCATATTGGCCACATCTCAACTTTACCCTGAGCCTAATCACATATCCACAAAATCTCTGAAATCTGGTTGGTCTTTGTATTGATAAAAGTCCCTACAACTTTCAAAAGTGTTTGTCTTTACAATATTGTTGCTATTGTATAAAATATTTTCCAGGTTCTTCTCACTTCACTCAGCATCAGTTCATATAAGTCTTCCCAACTTTCTCTGAAACTGTTCATTATTTTCTTAAAGCACAGATAGAAAACTAGACACTTTCTCCGATCCCCTTGACATCTCAAACCTCTCCAAAACAGAAATTATGCACCAAAGAAAATTCAGGTGTCGCCATGATTTAGGACACCTAGAATCCAAAAGGTGGTTAAAAACTAAAACCAAAACCCACGAGTTGACTTCTACACCGAGCTCCCTCAGCACCCCTCCCCACCACAAGCAGCAAGGCTTCACTAACTGACCCATATGGGTTCACGACAAACCCCACCCCCATACCCCAATCCAGCTCCCCTTCTTCTTTCCAGTGCCATCAAGCCAAGTCCAGGCTGTGGAAGGCTTCTCAGGCCAGTCCAGATAGCCGCACTCCAGACTACAGAATGCTCACCGCGAGGCTTGCTGTGGAAGTACACGGCCAGTAGTGCAGCGGTCGGCGTTCTGGGCAGAGAAAGATCTCTGCAAAACGTCCAACAATTGGGGCAAAGGAGCTTGAAATGGAGCTCAAAACCACATCCCGCTCCGCCCCTTCTGTCAGAGCCTCAGGGCTACAAACTACAGAAATCTACACCACAGCACCAGCGTGGCAGCTCTCTGAACTCTGAACAGGAGTGGGGCAGACACGGTGTTGGTGGTCCCCCCACCCCCACCCTCTGCAGGCACTCCACTAAGCCTGAGGGAAAGTGTTCAGCAACTAACTGGGGCCAGTTCGGATCACCCAAAAGTCACTTGGGTGCAAGACCTAGGCTAGTTTACATGAATTGCCCAGTGTGAGAGAAGGCTGAGATGCTTTGAGATTCATCCCCCGAGAAAATCACCATCAGAGCGGAGCGAGCCAAAAAGTGAGCAGTGGGAAATGGGGTGGGGGGGGGGAGCAGATAAATTACCATGGGAGACATTAATAGCAGAGAGAAATATGGCCTCCGGACCTAGGCGTTCAGGCATCTATGAGTAAATATTGCCCCAAAAAGGAAAATGATCCATCACTTAATGAGGCAGAAGACCCTGTGGAATTTGAGGAGAACGTAGAACCACAACATGCTATTCTTGAGTGGTTTAAAGGAGAACTGAGAATTATGAAAGCAGAATTTGTGTCCTGCAGAGCAAAAATGATGAGCAGAATAGAAAAACTGGAATCTGAAGCGGTAAGCCTCACCAAAGAAACAATAGAATTCAACAACCTAGTGTCTGATAAAGTGGAAATATAAATTTCCAAGGAAAAACTCTTTATTTGAAATAGTCCTGCAGAAATTAGGCTTAGACCAACACTTTACACCAGGAGTGGAGAACCTGCTGCCTCGAGGCCATATGAGGCCCTCTAGGTCCTCAAGTGCAGCCCTGTGACTGAATCCAAACTTCACTGAACAAAGTTCTTAACTAAAAAAAAAACCTACTAAAACTACTAAACTAAAAAAAACTACAAAGGGGTGAAGTTTGGATTCTATATACTATATTCCACAATACATTCTAAATGGAAATGCAATTTTAATATCAAAGAGCATAGTATTTTTTAAAAAAAACTAAAAGAGAAATGGATCATATATTTCTTATGGCTATGGGTAAGAGATATATTTTTAACCAAACAAGTTGTTGTCGTTCAGTCATTTTCAGTTGTATCTAACTCTCTGTGACCCCATTTGGGGTTTTCTTGGCAAAGATAGTGGAGTGGCTTGCCATTTTCTTCTCCAGCTCATTTTACAGATGAGGCAAACAGGTTAAGTGACTTGCCCAGGGTCACACAGTTAAGAAGTGTCTTGAGGCCAGATTTGAATTCAGGAAGATGAGTCTTCCTAACACCAGGCCCAGTGCTCTATCCACATCACCCACCAGCTGCACCAACCAAATGAGACAGTCCATTATGAAAGATGACTACATTAAGCAGAAAAGCTTCTGCACAGACAAAATTAAGACACCTAGGATAGGAAGGGAGATGGCTGAATGGGAAAAAATTTTGCATTAAATTTTTCTGATAAGAATTTTATATCCAAGATAGGTATAGATATATGTATACATACATATAAATGCATATGTATATAAGTATGTGTGTGCACATATATGCATGTGTGTATATGTATACATACGTACATAGGTACATGTGCATCGTAATGGGCATTCCCCAATTGATAAATGGGCAAAGGATATGGACAAACAGTTCTCAAAGGAAGAATTGCAAAGTATTCACAATCACATGAAAGAAAGTTCTAGATTACTAGTAATAAGAGAAATGCAAATCAAAATAACCATAAGGTTTCATGTCACACCCTGAAAATTGGCAAAGTGACAAAAATGGTGATAATCAGTGTTGAAGGGATTGTGGAATGATAGGCATAATATTGTTGGTAGAGCTGTGAAATGGTACAACTGATTTGGAAAGCAATTTGGAGTTATGCAAATAAGATTATTAAAATGTCCATACCCCTTGAACTAGAGACTCTATTGCTGGGCTTATACTCAAGAAAGCCATTGATAAGAAGTATCTCTAAACACTAGAATATTTATAGTAGCACTTTTTGTGATATCAAAGAATAGGAAACAAAATAGATGTCCATCAGTTGGTTAAACAAATTGTGGTACATGAATGTAATGGAATATTACTATGTTATAGGAAATTATGTATATGATAAATATAGAGACATACAGAAAGATCTATATCAATTGATGCAGACTGAAGTAGCAGAGCCAAGAAAACACTATTCCCAGTAACTACAACAATATAAATGGAAAGAACAGCACATCAAAAAAAAACCCAAAAGTGAATGTAACAAAATTATAAAGATCAAGCATGATGTGAATGAATATGAGAGGATACCCCCAACCCACCCCTTTGTGAAGGTGGGAGGTCCACAGGTGTTACATGTTACATGTGTTTTTGGACTTTTCCCAATATATCCATTAGTTGGGCTGATTTTTCTTCTTCTCTAAAAAAAACCACTATTTGTTATATGAGATGGCTCTCTGAGAGGGAGAGGGGAAGGGACACTTGGGATAACTATGATGATGTAAGAAACAGAAGACGTCAATAAAATTTATTTTTAAAAAAAGCGCAATAATATTCCATTATACGCATATACCATAATTTGGTCAGCCATTCCATAGTTGATGGGTACCCCCTTGGTTTCCAGTGCTTTGCCACTACAAAAAGAGCTACTATAAATATATTTGTGCGTATGGGTGTTTTTCCTCTTTATCTGATCTCTTGGGTGTTAGACCTAGTCAGATATCACTGGGTCAAGGGGCATGCACAATTTAGTGGCTTTTTGGGCATAGTTTCAAATTGCTTTTCATAATGACCGAACCAGTTCACAGCTCTGCTTAATCTTTGCCTTAGGGAGCTGGCATCAATGGATCAATTGAGCTCAATAATTCAGAGCTATTGTAGGGCTAAAGTTGATAGAGAGTCTTCGATACTTCTGGCACCGTTATGGTAAACCCTTAGAAGTTAGGGATCACCGAGTTGTCTATCGCTGGTTAGTCATTTCAGTCACGTCTGACTCTTCAGTGAACCCATTTGGGGTTTTCTTGGTAAACCTACTAGAACGGTTTGCCATTTCCTTCTCCAGCTCATTTCACAGATGCGGAATTAAAGTAAACAGAGTTAAATGAGTTGCCCAGGGTCACACAGGTAGTAAAGTAAGTCTCTTGAGGCCAGGTTTGAACTCAAGAAGATGAGTCTTCCTGCCTCCAGGCCCAGAACTCTATCTACTCTGCCACCTAGCTGCCCCACCAGGATGCCTAAGGAGGGGCAAACTGGTCCAAGTAGGTAATGGAGCAGGTTAAAACTTCCAGGCTGATCAGTAGAGGCTCATGATCAGCCACTCATTTCCAGTCTGAGCAAAGTCCCAATAAATAAGTAAATAAATAAATGAGTGGATGGGTAAATAAATAAATAAAAAGGCAGGAGCTTTTAAAGAAAGATTTTAAATTCAGATGAAGTTTTAGATAGTTTAATCCTAAAAAATTGGGGGGACACATTATAAGAACAATAGATAATTTCAGAAAATAACAGCACTGCAACAACACATGAAATCTCTGGCATGTAGCCAAAGAATACTTGGGGGGAAATTTATGTTGTTGTTGTTGTTTTTTTTTAACATTTTCATGAAGAAAAGGAAGAATAAATAGATCAATGATTGGGCTTTCAGCTAAAACAACTAGAAAGGTAACAATTTTTAAAAACCTATCTAACACAAAAGTAGAAATCCTGAAAATCAAAAGAGAGATAGATGAATTGAAAACAAAACCCACTGAATTGATTAATAAAACTAGGGGATAGTTTTTTAAATAAAAAAATATAAATCATTAGTTAACATGAAAAAGAGCAAAACCAAATTTCCAATATGAAAAAACGAAAAAGAAATCATAACAAATGAGAATAAATAAATGAAATCATTAGGAACTGTTTTGTCTAGTTATATTTGCTTAGTTATATTATATCATATTAGTTATATTGAAAACTAATAATTTAAATGAAATGGATCAATATTTGCAAAAATATAAAAAGAAATAGACCCAGTCAGAAAATAAATTGAATGAACCATAAAAGAACTCTAAAATAAAAAAAATACTTTGAGAACTAGATGGTTTTGTGAGTTTTATTGAACATTTAAGGATAATTAATTCAAATATGTAAAGTTACAGAAGTAGGAAAAGAAGAGATGCTACCAAAACTCCTTCACAAGACAAATATGATCACGATACCTAAGCTTGGGAGAGATAAGTAGAGAATGAAAACTATAGACCAATATTGCTAATGAATATTGATGCAAAATATTGAATAAAACACTAAGTGTCTTCAAAAACATTAAAAATATTATACACTGATTGTTTTAATATTAAGAAAATTATGAACTTATTAAAAACAAAAATGGTATAAAACACGATTATTTCAATAAGTGCAGAAAAGCTGTTGACAAAATACAATTCCATTTCATGCTAGAAAAAAACCCATTAAAAACAGGAATAAATGGAAGATTCCTTCATATTATAAATAGTATCTATCTAAAACCAAGGGCTAGCATTATCTCTAATGGAATAAATCTAGAGGCTTTTCCAATAAGATCAAGGGTAATGCAAAGATTTCCATTTTAATCAGTATCAGATATAACTTTAAAAGAAATTCCAGCTATAAAAATAAGACCAGAAATATTGAAAGAACAAGCATGGGCAAAGAAATAACAGTTTTATTGTTTGTTTTTTCTGCAGATGACTTGAAGGTTTACTTAGAGAATCCTAGAGAGTCAACTTAAAACTGAATGGAAACAATGAATAATTTCAGTAATATATGAGGATTTAAAATAAACTCAATTCATCAGCCTTTCTGTGTATTACTCATAAAATTGAGCAGAACAAAAAAAAATAATTACAGAAAATATAGAAAATATTTGAGTCTGTTTACCAAGACACAAACGGATTCTTGATATGAATTCTTACATGAATGCACTTGCAAAATACCCTTTATAAAAATATAGACCTAAATAATTAGAGAGGTATTGATTACTCATGGTTGGGCCATGCTAATATAATTCAAATAGCAATGCAACATAAAAATTAATCTTGAGGAACGAAAGGTCAAGAATGTCAAAGGAAATAACGAAAAAAAAAGTGATAAAGAAGGTAGCATGGTAGTGCCAGATCTTAAACTATACAAAATGGTAATCATCAGAACTATTTGCTTGTTTTAAACTGAAAAGTTGACTAATGGAACAGATCAGACTGACAAGATCTAGAAGGAACTCATTTTTTCTTGGCAAAGATACTGGAGTGACTTGCCATTTCCTTTTCCAGCTCATTTGACAGGCGAGGAAACTGAAGCAAACAGGGTTAAGTGACT